CTTTAACTTAATACTCTTAAAGGTGTCAGATAATGTGTACATACATACAATATATATGTGCCTGCCATTTATCACCGATAGACTAAAAATACACACAATCCATACAAAGTATTCAAACGAATAAAGAAGAAAATAAATTGAAAAATCGACCGCAGAGCAAACATTTGACATAACATTTGGATCAAACAAAAGTAAACAAGAAGTTTATGCTATTTTGAGCACTGCTCGGTGCTGATGCTTCATCTCATTCTTTCTTGTTTTTTTGGAAAATTGATTTATTGAGATTAAAGGAAATCGAGAAAGAAATGTCACACATATGTGAGGGTCAATTTTTCAATTTTCCCAATTGAGTTTTCCTCAATTTCTTTCTTTTAGGTTTGTTTTGTATTTGTTTGGTAATAAGGATATTGGAAATAGATGGTTTGTGATCAAGGAAGTTGAAGATTATTGCGAATTTATGTTCGTTTATCAATTTATGAGTCATTTTTGTATGATTTTGAACTTTTGTTGCAAAACATTCTTAACTTATTTTAGATTTTTGAATTTAATATAAATTTTGTAGTTTTTTAACAGACTTTTATTATTGACAAGGATTATTCAAGTAAATGAAGTTAAAAAATATTGAAAAATTGTTGATATTAAAAGAAACTAGCAATTCATGCTATCAACAATAAATCATTTACTTTAAGGTAAAAGCTACTCTAAGCATGTTTCACCAGTTCTAAATTAGTTAAAATTTTAAGTTTTTTTTACAAATTCAATATCAAAAATATCTAGAAACAGATTGAAGCTTTCAAAGTAACATCAAACTCTTTCAATCATTCAATTCAATCCCATTTAACACCATCCAACCGCTTCCACTTCCTATCTGGGCGGTATTTGACAGGATATTAAAGATTTCAATGTCATTAATTATTTGCCTTAGAATCTCAGTTCCAATAATCCTCAAATTGATCCGACCTAATTCCAATTCTGTAATCCTCAAACGATGAACTTTAAAACTCATTGAAAATCAATCCTTTTTTTGTAGAATATATCCGATGCCGTAAGGGCAACAATGTCAAATAAATTAACTGAATCTTTTGTTGTCCCTTGAATTTTTTTTTATTTTAAAATCGTGAAGGAAACAAAGGATTCAATTTCGTCTGTAAAATTGCGATTTTTTTGGTTTAAATCATCGACATTTGGTGAAGGATTAGTTAAACTTTCTATTGTGTACTGTGACTATCCATGAGAGACAATAAATAACTCTCTATCGATTGATATATTTTTAATGTAAGCCGTTACATTGCACTTAAATAAACCATGACAAGTCATTTTAAAATCAGCTATATTTTTGTTGCCGCTTCCTTTATGCCTTTTGATGTGCGTTGTATTTCTGGTCGAGTTTATGTAATGCTCATCTCATGATTTTTTTCTGTACACCGATAAATAAAATTTTGTAAAGAAGTTGATGACGATTAAGGCGCATTTTTTAAGAGATTTTTGGGTCATACCTGTTTAGTGCTACTTGATGTTAGGTTTTAGACTTAGGATTGATTTGTTGATGTTACAGTTGTAATAACACAGCACGTCCAGGCTGTTTTAATTTATTTTTGACTAATGTTGGCCCTCATATGAACCAAAAAAAGGTTGTGCCATCGCACTAATGTTAACATTCACTAGATTTAAGATTTAAATTTAGCCTGAGCAACATCAAAGCACCGTCAAAACCTCACTTTGAAACCATTCTAACGATAAAGCATTTCCAAAAGTTTGTAGTATTCCGACCATGCTTTAAAAGTGCCCTAATGGCTATAAATCGGGGTTTGTTACAGTCTATCTCTCGGCTAGAATCCCAAAATCAATTTACAGCTTAAATCCAGTCTTCAAAACATCAATTCTTAGTAAATATACCTGAGTTGCCCATTCGGGACATTCTGCTTAAATAACCTCAATTACCTCAATTTTAAAAAATCAGCACTTTAAAATACCAACGAAAAAATAATGTTCGGCTGTACAAAAAAACTGTATCAGCATGAAAGGACATACATAAATTTTAAAGTAATAAAAAATAAAACATTGAAAGGGTTCAATATAAATTTATTGATTAATGTCAGAGTGTCATAAAAGAAAAGAGACGAGAAGTGAACGTCAGTGAATCTACAAGAGTGAGACAGTTTGACGTTCCCATGGTAAGGATGAAAATAAAAAGTTTCCCCATACATGTGTGTTTGTATCTATTGAGTTTAGAGAATGGTTTGTTGATGGTTCATGAAAAAAAATTGAGAAGTTTAAAGTTCAAAAGGGTGTTTTATTTATTACTGACTGTTTTTGTTGCCAATTTTTTTTAAGAAGAAATTTCCTTCTGTGCAGTTTTTCTGCTTCAGTAAATTTTATTTTTTTAATATTCTCGATTTATCAGTTCAGACTCGAAACCCTTTCACTCTCTTTTTTAATGTATGTCCCATCTATGAATGTATCTTTTAAAATAGTGAAAAATTGCACCTCATTAGCAGCAGAAAATGAATTGAGAATCATTGATGTGCATTAACAGTAATGCATCACATTCTATTTAAAGGTCTGCTTACTTATTCTGCAGGATTAAGGATATTGTTGAAGATACATGGAAAGATTTGGACTGTAGTTAAGATATGGATCTTAGTTAATTTGAATTGAATTGATTTCAATTGAGTTGAACTGAATTGAATTGAACTGAATTGAGCTTACTCTAACAGAAATGAACTGAAATGAACCGAATTGAACTGATTTCAATTGAGTTGAACTGAATTGAGCTTAATCTAACAGAAATGAACCGAATTGAACTGATTTCGATTGAGCTGAACTGAATTGAATAGAACTAAATTGAAATGAAATGAACTAAATTGAACCAAATTGAACTGGTTTCAATTGAGTTGAACTGAATTGAATCGAACTGAATTGAGCTTAATCAGAACAGAAAATGAACCGAATCGAACTGATTTCAATTGAGTTGAACTGAACTGAATTGAAATGAGTTGAACTGAATTGAACTGATTTAAATTGAGTTGAACTGAATTGAATTGAGATGAATTGAAATAAATTGAAATGTGTTGAACTGAATTGAAATGAGTTGAACTGAATAGAACTGAATTGAATTGAACTGAATTAAACTAATTTGAGTTGAACTGAACTGTACTAAAACGAACTGAATTGAATTGAATTGAACTAATTTCAAGTAAATAAACCGAATCAAACTTAACTGATATTTAGCATTTAACAACCTGAATTCTTGGTTTGCTCGCCAATTTCATAAAAAAAAAACAAACCACATCATCCAGCCTTTAAAACCGTGCCAAAAAGGGTACATCATAAAATTCTCTTTATATCTCAAATGGAATGAAACTTTATGTCCAATTTGTTTCAATTTCACTGGACCCTTTTATAATCATATATTCATGTATCTCGGAAAATTGGCTCCGAAAAAAAAGTATAGAATTTCACACATACTTTCATGACAGGCCTTCAGCGTAGCGTACAATTTTTTTTGTTGCCTCTTAAGGACATCGTAAAAATTCTTAAATATCAGTTATTTTTGCGAATGGGGTTAGAAATGGTACCCATGAGAGCAACAGAGTGACGTTTGCATATCGAAAGGTTTCATTTATTTCATTTATATTCACATCAAGAATTGGAATCGAATGAATTGAGGACAGTGCAAATTTTTAAATTTTGAAAACTGCAGTTTAGTATGTGAATATGCTGGAACGACCATAATATCTTAAGAATATATTTTGCAACTGTAGATTTGTATTATTTTTAAAAGGGTTCATCGTAGCTGAATGAAAATGTTCTCAAATTTACAGCAATAAATTTCTATAATCGTGGCTATTCCAGCTCTAACCGAAACAAACATTCTGCATTGAATAATTTAAAATGGTCAGCCATTATGGCTAATTCGGGTCGATAATTTCTTCCTTCATCTCAGAATACACAATTTTCTTGTTAAGACATTATCATGCATCTAAAGGGACAGTAGAAGGAAATCGTATAATAAAGAATAATGTCCTCATTTTCCCTTCCTTTTATCGTATTTTCTCATTGAGTCCATTATACAAAAAAAATAATAGTATTAAGGATGAGGAGGATTGCAGTGTAGGGAATGTGAATGAAGAATAAGTATCAAGTGGACGAAGCAGAAGAGAAAGTTGTACTTTGTACGATTTCATTTGAGGTTGGATTTCTTTCTGAGAATAAAATGTGGAACTGAGATTTACTTTAATTGCTTGAATGAATTTTGTAGTATGGCTTGGTCAGCTTTAATGGCTTTTGGCGATGACTTAATTTATTTTCATTCAGAACTTCGTGGAAATGATGTGAATGAGTCCAAAAGTTTCTCGCAATTTTTGGTGTGGGCTTCGATCTACATTACATGAATAAATTTTAAAATAGAATTTTGAATTATTTAAAGCTCAAATTACTTGATTCTTTATTAATGTCTGCATGACATTCTGTAAAAATCAGTCTAGGTACAGGTTAGGATGGGTTTTGAACTTGAGTGACTAGTAGTTCTATGCTTCTTTACAAGGATTGCTCATTCTCTACTTATAGGCTCGGTTATTTGAAGTTTCTAGCTTTACTTAAGTTATTATTGAAGTACACACAAGCAATATTTGACTGTGACTAGGATAGGGTACCTCTATAAATGTTCCAAGGTTCTTTGTCTTTTTTTAGTCTCTGAGCTCATTTCGTCACTGAGAAATTGAATATATGAATTATCATTGGTTGAAATGATCCACGAACTGCATTGTTATGTTAATTCAAATTTTTATAAGATGAACATTTTGCTTTAAGTCTTTATCTTCACAAGATTTGTCAGATTTTGATGACGTTCATCAACGAGCTGTTGTTATTCAAAGAGCAAAGTGTGGGTTGGATATTGAATGAATCAGCTCTTAAAACAAGAAAACTCTTTGTTTCTATATTGTAGGTCAATTTTGAAGGTGATGCTGAAGATATTGAAAATAAATTATGAGAAAATCATGAAGGAATCGAATTTAGGTCTTATGATGAAAATTGACTCATATTTGAATTGCGGGTAAATCACTCGAATGTAAGGATAGTTCTGTTTAGCAGACACAATCACATATTTAAGAGTTGATACCACCAACGCTCAGGACTAAACCACAATCTTTATTTCACAACCTAAATCAGCTTCTTCATCTAAATTCATTTCATCAAGACCTCTTTATAATCTCAATAATTCACTTCCCCACATGATCTATTACATCCCAAGTTACAACACCTTTTCTTATCCGAAAAAAACCATTCAAGTGCCAATAATTCCAACTCACATAGAAAAAGTTTCCTTCTTATTTCCAACATTAATATTCCTTTTTTCCATGTGTACTCTTGTTATGGCTCTTTTACATAATGTTCTTATATATACATACATACGTACGGACGAAGGATGAAACAAAAGAAGTAAGAGAATTTCAGGATATAAAATAGCTCGTTAAAATGGTCTGCAAGTAGAGCACAAAAAGGACGTTCCGTTCATGTGTGTATGTGAATGTGAATGGGTCGGTTTAAAATTACAGGAAAGGTAACTCACTAAGCAATTGTTGTTATAGATATTATATCAGCTCAGAAACGTCTGTAGCTTCCAGAAATAATTAAGATAATTCTTTTGTGCATCTAGATAGTCTAGCTTTACTGAGAACAGAAGGTTTTGAATGTCTTGCTCATCTTGGTTCGACAAAATTGCTGATTTTCGTACAGTCTAGACATCCAGGTCACCAAATCTCAATCAAAATAATTAACAATAGACCAATAATGTCCCACCCCTAGAACTCCATTCTCCTTTCGGTTGGCAAAGCTATCCTACCCCGTAAGCATAATAAAATAAACTAACCAAAGAAGCGACCCATAATCCACCCCAAAAAATACAAGAGGAGATATGTGATGCATTGGAATGAGTTAAAAACAATATGAGATAGTATTATAAGTACTGCTCTTATAGTCTCCTTCATGCTTATCTCCAAAAAAAGTGTCTCGTATGCACACACTGAGTGAGAAAGTGTAGGATGATAAGAAAGGAAAAAAAAGGGAGAATTTAATCGGGAAAAATTGTATTAGCAAATGGATTTTGCCTCAACTTTTATGGATTCATGAAGACTCTGTCTCCGTTCTCTGTCCTTAGTCTCCACTCGGATAACGTTTTTAAGAAATTGAATATTTATGACCAGCATATATGGATAGTCATAAAAAATTACTGCTATCTCCTTCAATATCATCGGTTCCATACTTTTCTTGCTGACGAATGCATTTAAGTGCTGTGCCACTACAGTCACTTGAATATTAGTATACATAAAAAGGAGCCATTGGATAGGGAATGAATAAATGTATAAGATGAGATGAGATGAAATGAAGATTAATTGGATTTTTACTCGAATCGATATTGTGAGCGAAATTATGATGAAGTTGTGTTTTCAGTTTGTCATGTTTTTGACACATATTCTGAGAAATTAATGTACTTAATAATTGTTGCTGAAAAAACTGTGTTTCAAATCATTGTTGCCACTTTTTTCCAAAATAAATTGCACAAACAACTGTTCTGGCTGCTAAATTAACAAAATCAAACGCAAAAAACTTTTCGAGGTGGAGAATTTTTTTTATAAACTATTGACCTTGGATCAGTCAAACTTTCAAATTCCAAAAATTCAAAAAATTCAAAATTTAAATATTTTAAGTTCAAAACATCCAAAAATGCTCCTAAGCCAATATCATAACTTTAATTCCTCCCCAAACTTTCTTTTCATTACTTTTCTCTTTTTATATGCGGGCCAAGATGTCTCCTAACATGATGATGAATGATGGGACAGTACTTGATGCTCACAAGTGGATGCTCTTGTCGGATGCTTCCCTTTTTTATCTTACTCAATCGTCGTTCTTTGTTGTACAGATTGTGGACTTTGGCTTTCTCGTCTAGTGCATTGAAGGACTCTCGGTTTATATTTTTTTGTAGTATAGTTGAGGATAATTAAAGCATTTTCTTTGTTCCATTTTTTTTCGTCATCATGACACAGAATGAGAAAATTTATTCATTTGTCGTATGAACTTAAATCCCATTTCGATTTATTTTTCAATTCTTTGAATATAGTTTTTCATTCTCTCATGTCCCAGATGTGTTCTCAATCAATTATTCAAGTTCTTCTTTATGTGATTTTTTTTTATATGTACAATAGCTTAACTCTCATGTGCTGCATATTGAATTATTTTATAGAACCATAATTGGATTGATTTTTGGAGCACAAGCAGTGAACTTTAAAATGTCACATTTGATTAAAAACTTTAAATGAATAATCAATAAAATGGAAATTTATTTAAAGCTGAATATACTTGATGATGGTTGTTGTGGTTAGTTAAGAGTAATTTATAGCTTAATTAAATTGATGATAAAATTTTAAGTGAGAATTAATTGACTCTACTGAATTTTAAGAAGATGTTTGATGATTGGATGGACTTTTATGAATGAGTTCTCAAGTAGAAAATCCGTTGAATGGGATGTGTTAGCTGTGAATCATGAAAGTTTTAATGCAGTTTGGGTTTTTGTTGGTTTATAAAGTCTATAATGCCAAATTATTGAAATAAGTTGGAACGAGTTAAAGGTGGAGAAGTTAAAGATTTCGTTAAGAGTACTTCTTTGTTTCTGACCTAGGTTCGAGTCCTTGTTATAACAGTAGTAATGTGAATGGGTTCGAGCCAATCAATGTGTTCCTTTAAGGTGCGACTAGCTGAAGGCACTGCGTTCCTATTTAATCATACAATCTTGGGTTCGAATCCTCCCTAAAAGATCAAAGTTTTTGGTCTGAGCATGTTTGTCATCCCTCAAGTTCAATTCTAACATCAAAATCTAATCTTAAAACAGAATATCCAAGCATCAAAGAATAAATTGATTATTCACTAATCTTTGTCGTCATATCAACAGTGATTTGCATATTTATAACTGTGATTAGAACTGTGGTCATCAAAAGTATTTAATCTTATCACATGCTTAATTTTTCTTGTTACATCCGGGAGTAAAGTTTGAAAAATATCAATTCAATAGAAATTATTTGATCATTAATAATTCTATAGCCCTAAATGCTTTTTAATAATCTTCTCCTATTAACTTCCTTACCATATCCACAGAGCTCAAAATCAAAAAAATCAAGTTTTACATATGGTACGTACGGTCTGGGTACGGTCCGTAATTCAACTGTTGACCCCGTTAGCACACAATTTTGACAATAAATTTATTAAGAACGAGGAATAAATTCATTTAGAGGTAGACAATTTTTCATATTTTAAATACGACGGTCGGCGTCCGGTTATGGTCAGCAAATTTTGGAAACGGGCCGATGAATTTTATTCATTTTTTATGTTCTTGTTTGGCGAGTTTTTTGTTTCTCGGACGCAGGTCTGAAATGATTAGAAACTAGTTTGTACGCTATTTTCTAGTCAGAAAGAATTAAAGTTAAAATTCCAATAAGAATCATATTGAGGATGCGATGACCAATCCACATATTTCTCATTCCATTGCCCCAGCCTCCGGTAGCACCCTTTTCTCAACATGAGATTTATGTACGTGCATTATGTGCTTAATGTGCTATTTTCTACTCTCTACTTACATAATAAAAAATCTTGTATGTTTGTTTATGGCATTGGAAATAAAATAGTTTCATCCCCTACCTCACTTACTTACTGTACATGTATATATACATTTTTTATCCCTTTTAATTTTCAATGTCTCTCTCTCTCTCTCGGTCTGTGTTATGTACAAATGTTTATTGTGTTAAAAAAAGGTAATATTAATACCATTTTTTTGCCCGATTGTTTGCTTGCCTGGGCAACATAGCATATGTAGATTATGTCTATGTATTTGTGTGTGTGTGTCTAATGTGTTTGCATAAAATTTTACATCTATGCAGAATGAATTTTGTTGATTGTTACAATGAAAAAAAGGACTTTTAAAATAATTAAAATTTTCAGGCAAACGGCAGAAGGACTGTGAGGATAAATGAAAAAAAATGTAGGAATTTTAAAGAGACTTAAGAGATTTAAGCGCATTTTCAGTTGAATTATTAAAATTATGCTAATCTTGCTCAATACTGAGGAATTTTAATTTTAAATGAGCAATGTAGAATTAAACTGAGCAATGTAGCTTAAAAACTGAGCAATTTTGCTCAAAACTGAGCATAAAACTGAGCAATGCGGCTTAAAAATTGAACAATGTTGCTCAAAACTGAGCAATGTAGCTTTAAACTGAGCTTATTGCCGAAAACTAAGCAATGTGGCTTAAAAACTGAGCAATGATGCTCAAAACTGAGCAATTCTACTTTTAAATGAACAATGTAGAATTAAACTGAGCAATGTAGCTCAAAACTGAGTAATGTGGTTTAAAAACTGAGCATTGTTGCTCAAAACTGAACAAAAACAGGACAACCAGACATTCTAGACCTTCAGACAACAAAAAATCCTTAACAGCAAGCCACAAACAATTATAAATATGCATTAAATAAAAACTGAGGAAATGTCTAAAGGAAGGACATAAAAATAAATTAAAATTGTCCTTAAAATTCACATTCCACATATGTTAAATCTTTCAATTTTCTTAATGTTCATTGAATAAATGAGTTTTTCCTTCATAGTTTTCCCTATTGCCCATGCACACGTATGTGACTAAAACAAATAAAAATATTGACAGAAATAGGAAATTTTTTACTGATGTGCTTTTGTGTCCTCTCGATTCACTCGAGTTAACTTTACGGTTTCCCGATTTTCTTAATAATTTTTCCAACTTACTTAAAGGACCCTTCTTATTCTACCTTTGTAGTTTGTGTCGTGCTGTGATGGATAGAACTATGGAGATGTATGTCTATTTGGTTCATTTCTTTCTCTTAAATTTAAATTTTTATTTGTCTTGTTAGGAATGATATCGAGGGTGAAGCTTTATGCTTGTCAATTAAATTATTTTAAAACACAATTTTCAGCTACGATGGACGGGATTAAAGAGTTCAAATTTTAAAATTTTGACTAGTAGAAATTTTATAAAATTTATAAAACTTTTAAAATTCAAATAATATAAAACCGTTTAAATTTAAAATGTTAGAAACTGATGAAATTCAATTTTACAAAACCTTTAAAATTCAAATTTTATAAAACCGCTAAAATTCAAACTTTACAAACAGGTTAAAAATTTCAATTTTTATAAAATTAATCAAAAATCCTTAATAACTTGCCTTATCGTCGCAAAAGCTCTTTTAAAAATAATCCTCAAGCCATAAAATCCACAAACCAACATCTTAATTCCACTCCAAGAAAATCCAATTTTTATGACCAAACCAATCTACTTTCTATTCGATCCGATGATGACATCTTTGCCTATTCTAAAATCCATTCAATATTAATGTTTGTGCTGCGTGTGCAGAAGTTAACTGCGAACATTTTTGTATCTCCCGCCATCGAACAAGAAGAAGAAAATCACACGAGAATGATAAAAATTCAAACACTTGTTAATCTCACGTTTCTCATTCACAGCAGCCGGTTATGCTGTTGTTATCAATTTTTTAAATTAATTTAATTTTTTTTTTGAAAAACAAGTTTAGCCTTCAACTTCGATTTGAGAAGAATCTTAAATATTATTCTTTTTTTGGTTTCTGTAAAGTGAAGGTATGGGAATCTGGTTGATCAAGTTGGACTAATTGGAAGTTAATTTTTTTAATAAAAAGAAGTTATTTTTAACATGCAAGTATGCAAATATTGACCTTTAAGAAGTGCATATTACGAGATTTTTTTTTAAAAAAAGGAGATTCTGTTTTGAATGATTTCGAAGGTCATGGATGTTATTGTTCTTGTGGACATGCTTAAGTCAAATGATTAAGTCTTAGTCTTATGATTTTAGAGTTTATTTTCCTTTGGTTAAGCTGGAAAATATTACACATGACAAGTTTGACATTCTGTAGATACAAGATCATACAGTCAAAGGGTCTAGCCATCGAGTCTCAATCAAGAATGTCCGTTCTTTACTCTGAATGCTAAGCAGCCCCTTTCCTCTCTTGCTAGCTTTTAATCTCATTTAATTTTCTTCAGAATCCATAAAAAATTAGTAAATCCCCCAAAAATCCTACATCCAGGAAAGCTAATCATCAAATGTTGATACATCTAGCTAAAAGATACAAAGAAGCTTCTTATTCCAATTCAATTTTTTTATTTCTTCTTTAATAATCACATGCTACACAATCGTCCATAAAATCTGATAATCATCCATAAATATTATGAATGCATAAGTATCTTCTTTCAATCTGTATAAAGTTGTAAATTAGAATGCTATTTAATATAAGGGGCTGTTCACTTATTACGTAACGCGAAAAAATGACTTTTTAGACCCCCCCCCCTCGTAAAAAAATTTGTATGAAAAAAAAATTTCCTTGTTTGAACCGTAACAAAATCTTAGACCCCCTCCCCCCCTAAAAGCGTTACGTAATAAGTGAATGGCCCCATACGAGTTTATTTTTTATGTCCCTAAAAATAAAAAGAATCCAGCTTTAACAGGTCATTTGCATTTGCTCTTTTTTGATTCTCGAAAATAAAATATTATTTAGATTTTTAGAATTCTTTGGGAATTACGGAATTTATAAGGAGATGGGAAGAGACTTGAGATTAGGGATTAATACACAGCAGCGGCTGGCTTCTAAAGCGGAACAACTTACTCTAGATTCGAAAAATCTATGTGAAATACAGTCAAGGGCAATGGTTCTAAAACTTTATGCCGCGGCACACTAGTTTACGTAAAAAAAATGTTTAGTGGACCAAAAAAGTTTGAGAAACATTGGTCTAGAGTTTTAAGAAAAATTCATTGTGACTAAAACAGATTCTATCATCGATCAGGATTGCATTGCCTTCAGCTTGTCGCAACGTAGAGTAACACACCCACCGCTTTGCTGGAACCCTCTCACATTATTGAAATAGATTGCACTGAGTAGCTCTAGAAAAAAACTTTAAAGTTCAACTCAAATTATGCATTGAACAATTAAATCGACTCGACTCTACCTCATGTTAAATTCATATCGACTATGAGCTCTGATAGAGAACATATAATAAGCTTTAAGTTACAGCTAATGATTCACAAATAATCCATAAAGCCATCAAAATATAAATTTAAAATGCAAAATACTCCAAAAAAATTACATAAGTTAAAAAAAGACCGAGCAAAAAGTACCAAGACTAAAATTATCCACAACAACAACAACATCCAGCCTTACGAAATAATTCATCAGAAAACGTAAAAACATTTCCAAAGAACCTTGAAGTCAAAAAAACAAGAAGAATCATCCTTAAAGCTACTCAGAAAAATTAAAAAAAAATCAATAAACTCGCACATGAGACATAAGACATGTGTGTAGTAGCCAACGGCTCCATTTTCTATTTCCACAGCTTGACCAACCCATTTTGTCCATTTTATTACTCGTCTTACTCTCCCTCACTACACACAATTCACAAAATTTCTCTCTCAAGCATTCATCCATCCACCCTCTGAGCAGTTAACGTTTAAGTTTTTGCTTCAATGTCGACTGACGTCTCTTTAAAGCTTTAAATGAAAGGAAAAACAGCCGCGAAAAAAAAAATCGATAAAAAAAATGTTTCGCGAAGGAAGGAAGGAGAAGAAAAAAAAATGAAAACAAAGACGCTGTGCTTTAAAACATAATTTAAATATTTAAAGAATCACTTTTTTTCGTGCTGTAAAAAATGGTGTTGATAGAAGCACAATTTTGAATGAATGAGAGAGAGAGTCTTTTATTTTTGTTGCAATGTATATGCGCTTATGTACATGACTTCGGCTTTTGTATTTCTCCTTCACTAATACATGCAAAGGTTGAGATTCTCAGAGAGTTTTTGAGGATTTTCTTCTTCCCCTTGTGTCTGACTGTTTAGTTGGAATGTAGTAAGGGGGATGAAGAGAGGAAATTTTGAGAAGTAAAATTGTTATTTTTCTGAGAATGCTGAAGGGTTAGATTTTTGATGCTACTCATTGTGGTTTCTACTTTTAACCAATAGATGGCGGTAGATGAAGTCTGCTAGAAATGATTTTTGAGGAATTTATAGATGCAATTATACAAAAAAAAATAACAAAAATTGATAAATCATTTAAGAAAGATCAACTATGATTTTGGGATTCGAACCTGTCTTTAATCTAGGAATTCAACTTTATGGAATTCGGTTATGAAAAACGCTTTATTCATTATGGCTGGAAGCTCTGTAGATAAAATCAGAATCACAAAAATATCCGAGCACAAACAAAACACAAGCATAATCCCCCCCTTACAACAACATACATAATTCTTCTCCACCATATGCATATCTGATACAGAAGTAAATGATGATGGCGTCCGGTTTTAAGTGCTCTCCTATCTCCCGTATTGTTTTTCATTCTGTACAAGATGATGTGCAGAAAGCAATTTATAAATGAAAAGACTGAGACTTTTTGTTTCATCCTGTTTTGGATATTATTTATTCATGTGCAGCTTCCTCATGTCTGTGTGGAGATTTTTTTTTGAGGATATTTAAATGGCTTTTTTTTTTGTTGGGGATTTAACTGAAAAAGTAATGAAACTTTGACCAAAATATTTTGAGAAACCCTGCATTTTTAGTTATCATAACAGAAATCACTTCCAAAAATGATATGGGAACATTTGTCAATATCCCGAGGGCGTGTATTAATTTCATGGATTTAAATTGAAAATAAATTTTCTAATCAATGAAATTCACACATAGATTTTTCTCAATGTCTACCGTTTAGACTGATGTGACGGTTGAATGGGATTTTAATATATGACTGTGGTATTTCAATTTCCGTGCCTTTTCTCATCATGCTATGGAAATTTGGAGGTACGCCTTCTTGATTTGTTGAATTATAGAATTTATTGAATGGGAATTTGGTGGTGCTTGCAGGCTGTAGAGATAGATTGGTGTGCTGGGTATTAGGATTAGATGATGGCTTTTTGGAAGTCCAACGCGTTTTCATAACCTTAAAAAAATATATAAAAAAATTAATGACCTAAATATTAATTCAAACAATGCCTAGTTATCCCTAACTAGTCTTTCATGATTTTCCGGTTGTGGATATTTAGCGAAACCGGAAAATCGTAAAAGCCTATTCTCAACATCCAGTAAAATCACAAATCTAACCTCAAACTACAAAAAATCTATCAAATGCGCTTCATACCGAACTCCCCAATCCTTCCATACTTCTTCACTATCCCAATTCAATTTCCAACTTAGTGCGGGTCGAGGTTAAAAATGAATTAAAGAATGGCTTGACGATTATCAGTTAAGAAAAAGGATGTGTATGGTGTGTATGTGAATGAACGAATATCATTATCCTTTTTTGATCGAAAATTAATTGGCAGTGAAAAAGGACTGGCACACAATAACTACGTTTATGATGCAAAAAGATTTTCGTGATGATTTTACATAGCTTTTAGTGTTTGATGATTAATAAGAGTCTTGAACTTCCACGTTATGAATCTTAGCTGATTTTTTTTTAATCTTATTAATTAAAGTTTAAAAATTATGAAAAATAAAGTTATTGTATATCATGCATGATCATGAACTTACAGGGGTTGCTTGTTTTCAATCTTCGATATTTTTAAATGTTTTTATAGAAGAACGAAGCATGCAATTAAGGAATGGCCTAACAATTTTATCAATCAAGTTTTCGCAAATTATCACTTAATAACAAGTTTGTGTCTAAACTGATGTGAATCTTATATAAAATCGTAGACATGCGATGATGCAAGATCATTTTCTACTAAGATCTCTGCCGGTCAACAATTTATACGTGCCACGATAATGTCATTTGCAGCAAGATGGTGAAATACACTTTGTAAGTATTTTAATTTTTTTCTGAATATTTCTTTAAAATTTTCTTAGATTTTTTGCATGTTTTACGATAGCTATTTTTGAAAATTCTGAATCAGCTTCGTTTGAATGCAAATACGACTTCTATGCCTACGAAACAGTAGGAAATATTTACTACTGTTGGATTCAAAACAACTTAAAAATTAATTCACCATCATCGGCTTTAATAACGTCTCATTCTGGAGGTCACAAAAGTGGATACAACAACAATTATGTTTACGGTATATGGAGTGATGTTGGTGGAATCAGCTATTTCCCACTTGGATTAGATGAATTATATCCAAATATCAACTTTATTGTCATTCGAAAAGGTCGAATTCAAGAACTTCATCAATCTGACTTAAAATCACTTCCAAATTTGAAGCATTTAGATTTAGGACAAAATGATATTGATGTCCTCGAAGAAGGATTATTTGACTACAATCTAGAATTGGTTTTGATTTCGTTCATGGAAAATAAGATTTGTGAAGTTGCTCAGAGCAGTTTTGATATTATGCCAAAGTTGCATTGGCTTTATCTTAGCTATAATCAATGTAAAGAAGTCTATGATGCAAGAACCACATTCGAGGCTCTTAATTTACTGGTTGAAGATGTTCGGATGAATCAATGCAATTGCTCTGACTACTAAAACCTTAAATTGAATTCATCATCTCGTGTAAGAACAATACTTACCTTGATAAAAATTAAGATTAAATAAAATCATAAAATATAATTTTTATCACCGCATGGAAGTCATTCTACATCATATATTTCCTTGAATGTATTTATGAATGATTTTTATATGGGGTCGTTCACATATGACGTCCGAAATTATCGATTAGATTTCCAGGAATTTCTATTGTTCTTTTCTTGTTCGACCCCCCCCCCCCCCCCCTCCCCCCCCCTCTCCCTCTGGATGTCATAAGTGAATGGCCCCTATGTGAATATGCCAAATATGCTTTTAGCAATTAAGTTTTAGGAACAATAACCTCAATTTCTGCACAAAGAAATTTTTTTACGAAAATCAAGGTCTTCTATAGCCAAAGTGATGCCTGAACTTACTTCAACTGAGTTATAAAAGCTATTGAAACAAATTGTCATATTTACAGCTCATTCTCATCTCCAAAACATTGCTTATCCTCAACAACTGTGTCAGATGTCCATGTGGCACTCAAATCTGCCTATGACAATACCACCAATGCCAATATGGCTGACTCATTTTAAAATTATTCAAAAATTGTGGAATGAGAAGAAAAAATTTCAAAAAATTCTGTTTTCGTCTTCGAGATTTTCAAGCAGTTGGTAAGCAAGTAAGTAAGTTTTTAGGAACGAGAAATGGAAATAAAATGGATGGGTGGGATATTTTTAGTTTTCTCTTTGGTCCTTTTTGTGCTGTGCTCCTTTTTGTGTGTATTTAAAACATTAAATTTTATGTGTTTTTAAGGCAGAAAATTTTCGGTTGCCTTTTTTTCCCCAAAAAACATGAGTGTGAGAGAGGACGATAGAGCATGCTGTGCCATTCCATTCGTCGTTGTCGTTTTTTTGGAAAATTTTACTCAGGGATGATAATTGAGGGATGAGGGATGAGGATGATAGTGAAATGGGCCGAAGATAAGGGACATACACACATAAAAATGGTAAAAGGCAGAGTAAAAAGTTTTGGGGATGAATAAGAATGAAAATTCAAAAATTTGCTCATTGGAATGGGAAAATGATTGTGTCGAAGCTCTAACTGCTCTCATCATAGACTCAAATTCTATTTTTTTTTGTGCTTGTAAGGGGATTTTATGAATGTGAAAATCCTCGAAAGTACCAATTACATTACTCGAACCGAACCATTAATTTGCTACATTTTTAGTATCTTTCACTCACTCTCCCTTCCCATTTTCTTAACACGATAATATAGTGCGCTTATACATCTATAGATGTAAATGGAAAGATATTGTGTCCGCACATTCTATCCCTTACTGCTTCTTCTTATTTGATGTTGAACATTTTTAGATATTTTCTCAGTTAGGAACATATTTTAAGGAGAAGAAAATGAAAAGTTTATAGATATAGTTTTGCTAGTGTAGGATTGCAGAATGGCTGACTCGGAAGATTAAACTGTTGAATTTGATTCCTTTCAGGCAAGAAGTAACTGAATATTCAAGTTTTCTATTATTCATACCCGAAAGTTTACTTTGTAATGAATTACAGGTCAACTTTTAATGGGAATTGAACACACGATGTTATAGAATGTTCTATAAATTAGCTATTATTGCGAAGTCTTAGACAATTATTTAAATCTTAATATAGCAAAGCCAACATTACTCTAATTAAATACACGAGCAACGTGGTTAGGAGAGGTTCTACTTTATCAGTTTTTATGGACAAGCTGACAAGTTTATATCGTTTTCAAAGAGACTTTGGACATAAAAAAAAATTGTAGTCAAGATCAATCAGGTTCGTGTGTAGTAATATATTCAGAGGGGGGGGGGGGGGGGGGGTGGTTGACAACGCTAGACTAGCTATGCCTATGAGACTAAGTTAAGACCCAACACAACTTGCCAAAAATACTCCAACCAATTTAGCATTCATTTTACTCGAAGCTTCAAGCTTTCTAATTTTATACGCTTGAATAAACAACTTTCGATTTCTCAATGAAATTTATTTTACACTTTTAAAAAAATCTTATTTATTTATTTTTAATCTCTTTCTTCTCTCAAAAAAAAGTTTTTTTCATTCATTAAAATTTTTGTTCGACTATTTTTACAACATTTTAGCCTGAAGAGTCATTTTATTTGGGCTGAATTATTTGAAATTTACACGATTTTTTTCCAATGAAAAATTTTCAAACTTGGCCTTTTGTTTTAATTCCCGAGGAAAGATAAACCAAAAGTATTAAATATAAATTTCTAACATGAAACTTTTTTTTTATTATTTGCTAAGTGAATAAATAAGTTAAATAAAAATTTTCTTCTTCCTTTAATTTCATTTTAAATATTCACGAATCACGCAAGTTTTGTTTACCTCTTTTTTTTTGTGTGCTGGAGCAAGGCATGCCTGTTTTGAGTTTAGTTTTTGTGGGAGGAATTGAATAATAAATTACATGATTTATTGGGGACATTCACTTGTTACGTATATCATCAAAGGGGGTTTAAGATTTTATGATCCTTCAAAAAAACACATTGGTGGATCGGAAGAGTGTCATAATTGAACAATTCAAAGTAGTCATGAATTGTCGAGGCATAGATTTTGAGAACCACTGGTCAATATCAATGATTGTCAAGCCGTGTGCCGCGAAAAAAATTAGGATATCCTAGGATGTTGTGTGCGATTTCCTCATTGATTATCACTAAGTGTACCTTGGCCCAAAAGAGTTTGGACACCACTGGTCTAGACTATCAATCGACATGTAAGCAAATTTGTCAGTACAAGAATCAGGTATCTATGGTTGATAGATTAGGCAACCGACTGAAAAATATAAACCGTCTCTTTTATGAGGATGTGGGTTCTATTCCTACTATTTTCAATCGAATTCACGATTCTACACTTAATGAACTTAGAAACTAATATTAGGAATGGTTCGGGTTTGTGTTGATGCACATTTAGTTGCCTTACCTAGTAAACAAGACGATAATCTAAAGAGTAAGTTTATAATGATGTAAATTACTTAGATCTAGTTCAATGTGTGTCTGTCTATAGAAATATTCTAGGTTAGAAATGAAATTAAATCTATAAAATTCATCTAAGTTTTAAAGAAGGTACCTCAGGTAGCCCAGGAATCGGCCTTCTGTTACTGATAATAGACATTAGGGAAGAACTTCAGTAACAGTGCCTTTTTAAGAAGAATTGTTCAAAAATTCTGCTTAAGATAAACTTGACATGTCAACATGTTGAGTTTATAAAATAACTTCCACTCTATATCCACATGAGATCTCTAATCTTTTTCCAAGAACAGGATAAGTCATCAAATTCTATTCAAAACTATCATAAAAATTTCAAAAATGAACTCATTATTCTAACTGCATAGACTGCACATTCATTTCTATTCATGCAACATTTTTATGAATGGAGTTTTTCAACAGTAAAATTAGTCTTGACTCTAGTCATGTTGGAGTAAAAAAAATTAAAAACATTCAAAAGGAAGTTGATAATTACAGAAAAAAACTTTAGATAAGTCAAAGAAGCCAATGGAAATGTCCTGAATGACATGAAAAAAAGAGGAATGTTGGAAAATAAGCACACACAAAAGTTTTCAATGGATTTTGATTTTGTCAAGTGTGTTTACTTACCTTACGGATGATAAATGTGCATATACGGTATCTAGGATGTACATGAGCTAACAGCAATGTTGGAAGAAAAATAATAAAAAAAATCTCAAAGAGCGACCCTTTGAGTACTTGAACATTAAAAATGTCACCGTTTGATGTTTCTCTGACTACATTTTTCCATATCCTTTCCTCTCCTGACTTCTTTCAATTCCATTTTGTTGTTGCTGCTACTGCTATGTATTATTATTTGTTGTTGTCGACGACCTCATATATTCGCATTATAAATCTCGAGTATCCGCTTCTCCTTTGTCATTGAAAAACAATAAGCAAAATAGAGAAAATAAAAATGTTTGAGTTTGGGAATGGACAAGGGTGCTGGGGACGTAGAGTGCATTATTTGAAAGCATGACTATCTACTGAGATTCGAACTATTGCTTTAAGTAGGGGGGCATTCGCTTATTACGTAACGCTTTTAGGGGGAGGGGGGGGGGGGTCTAAGATTTTGTTACGATTCAAACAAGGAAATTTTTTTTTCATACAAATTTTGTTACTAGGGGGGGGGGGGGTCTAAGAAGTCATTTTTTTGCGTTACGCAATAAGTGAACAGCCCCTAGGGAAACAGAAGAAAAATTTAAGAATTTTGTATAAAATCTTATACTTCACAAGAGAATTATTCAATATTCAAAGATGAATTGAAACGGGGGGCTTGCCAGACAGACACACAGACAGACAGTAAAATAGCTAGAATGACAGAGTAACGAATGTTTTTAAGATTTCCCAACAGCCATTCCGACAAACCAACACTCCATCAACATTTTTTTCTATTATAACCTCAAAATCTTAAAATGCAATATAAAAAATCATGAAATATGTATGGAAAGGGTTAGCAATCCGCTTCCATGGTTCATGCAAGTCCTTAAAACAAAAGAAATATTAAACACAATGGATTCTGCAATGGCTTTATGATTTACATTTGTATTTTCCTTATAGCACAGCCATTTTCGTCCATTTCATCTATCGAGGTGGCAATGCCGTTGGGATTTTTTTTCACTTTTTTTACCTTAAAAAAAAATATTTTTACGACTTTCCTTTTTTTTTTGTTGAAAAATTTACTTTATGTACTGAATATTTACAGGATGCTCGTAATTTTGATGCAAAGAAACAGCACAGACGAAAAAGAAAGAAAAGAAATCGCGGAAGTAAAAAAAAAGTGAGAAAAAAATATCCCAACTTGTTGCATCTCCGTCACCCTGCTTGTTTATTTTATTTTGATGAGTAAATTTTTTTATGGAGGTAAATGACATTTGCTACATGACTTTTGGTGATCTACGCAATTATTACAGAAAACCAGATTCAACATCCCTTCCATCCTCATAATTCCATCTCATTTTGA